GGAAACACAGCCCTGCCAACATCTTGATCTAGTCCAGTGAGTCCGCTATTGGGTTTGCAAACACAGAACCATTAGACAATAAATTTGTGTTGTTTTGAGCCACTAAATTCGTGGTAATCAGTGGTAATTTTCTCCAGCAGCCATGAAAATAAATCTAGTTATTTGCATTCTCTGGGAAGGGTATTTTTCCACTATATTCCTCTCAAATTTAATTCAAAAAAATCTTCTTGATCGGGCCATTGAGCCTCCTAAGAAACACACGTTTTCCTGTTCTTGGTCATACATGTACCGATCCCTTCCAAGAACACACATTCTGATACTACAGGCCATGGTCCAGCGGCTGAACCTCAGCCTTCTTTGTGCTACGTGTGCTTAGATCTTGATTTCCTACATGCTCTGTTATCTTCCAAAATCATAACACTTAGCCATGTCATGAAATATTCTGACTTTAACCACAACATTCACACTGTAAGTTCTTCTGAAAGCGCCATTAGTAAATTAGGTAAAAATGTGGGGAAATTGGCAGCTTTCATAAACACTGCATGATGTTCTAGTGCAGCTCATGCATCCTCTAGGAAGACAGCACATCTCTCCATCAGCCTCACTACATCTCCATGTGGCTATTTCCATTTCATTTTCCAAAAACAAAAAAAAACCCCCACAAACCTCCCCTATGTCTAGTCTTACTGATGCCCTTAACAAGTGTTTCATCGTCTCCCAAAACATGTGAACCAACCATATTTGATGCGAACTCAGCACGGAATGTTACTTGTCTTTAGAAGGTTCAGCTTTATTCTCTGAGAGGTGGCTCATGCCTCTTCTCAGATTTCAAAGGGGCACATAAAAAAAAAAGTCTTCTCTTTGTCCTCCATGTCTCATTTTTCTGTGGAACAACCTCAACACTAATTTTGATTCTGCCTGGCCTTCTTGAAATCATTTTATTTCTGCTTTCTTTCTTGAATTGTGTGTGCCATGCTGTCTATAGTCCATCATCCTGATGGTTTTCAAGTGTTTCATCTTTTATCAGAGAGACCAGCTTACATTTATGGTGCACACAATTGGTAGCCCCCTCAGGCAGAAAGTGCACTGATGAGCTGGAGTTCTTGATTTCCCCAGGCGAAGACACACAATTGCTCTTGGGGTCACCTTTGCTTCAATCTCTTGAATCAGCCTTGTCTCTCTAATCAAGGGAGTTTTGGAATCTCCTCCGTCAACCATTTGATACTCAACAGTGGCCAGCCTTGCTACACTTTCTGCACTAGTATTGTACAGTTGGTCTTTAAATACGGATTCTTGCCTAGTTCTTTGACACATCAGCTTGTTCTTGGCACTAACTAATTATAACTGAGATCTTACTATGTAGTATGAGGTCCACATTCATTATTTTCCTTGAATCTTCACAATTATCACATGTGTTAGGCCCTAGTACTACCCCCATTTTCAGATGAAAAACCAGGCTTACAGAGCCCTAGTAATTTCCTCTAAGTCCTGCAGGCAGTAAGGCGTGGAGATGGGCTTCAAACCCGGGTCTGTATGTGTCCAGAGCCTAAATGTGAACTCACTCGGTTCTAATCATAGGATGTTTAAGCAGGCTTGCCAGTAACTGAATCTCTTTATTGTCTGTTTCCAAATCCAAGTCCTTTGGACTGCAGTTTCGCATTGCTCCTCTTGCCAGTCCTCTGGGGGACTGAAGCCCTGTTTCTGGATCCCCTGGACTCTGTCCTGATACCTCCGACAGCCCCTCTCTGGCGGTGCCTACCTACACGTACACTGCTTAACCCTTACTCACTGCGTCCAGAGCCACGGTCAGCCCTCCTCCACTACTGCATTTCTTCTTGCCATTGGTTAACCTTGTGGGCAGGTTAATATCAATGCCACTGATAATGTGTTCCACCTAAGGATGCGCAAGCAACAGCAATATGTATGTGTATGTGTGTGTGTGTTTATGCTGATGATCTTAGGAAGGAAGAGCGATTGACTGGAGGGGCATTTCTGAGTGCATTCACGTGTGTGCAGACATAGGAGTGATATAAGAAGTATTTATCAACCTACAAGCACTGACTAATTAGCATGGTCACCTGCTCTAATACTGGAGCAGGTGCTGAAGGCACACTTCTATGACAGGAATCACCCCATTAGTTACTAGATTTTGGGGGTGATCTAAGAGCTCCTAGGGGAGGCACATAGGAATCTTCATGCAGTAGCTGTTTACCAACTGGCAAAAGAATTTCTATACTTCAACACAGAATATCAACCCTGTGGTGGGTGGATCTGAGGGAAGAAAAGATTTCAGAGTTAGATAAAACTACCGTGTGCTCAAAGATGTATGTATTTGAAACATGTTGAATTTACATAGTAAATCCAGTCTCATACTGTTCCAGTCATTCTTTACAGGGCAGTCAGAATGATCTTTCTAAAACAAAATCTTATCCTTTCTTCCTCTGCTCAGAACTGGACGGTAGGTCTGATATCTCTCCTGCACAATGGCCCTCACATCTCTTCCTTGATGTGATGCAACTTCTTGGCTTGGTGTTCAAGAAACCACATGATCTGGTCTCTAGTTGCTTTTTCAACATCTTCCCTCCCCACCAACACACACACACACACACACACATTGTCCCTCAATCAGTTTCAAACTGTTTCGTATTTCTGGAACATAGTGTGTTAGCTCATGTACTTTTTTGCCCAAGGCGTCCCATACTGGAAAGCTCCCAGTAATCCTTCAGTAATCAAACAAATATCAGCTCTCTAGGAAGCCTTACTCCCCATCTGGGCTTCACTAAAATCAGGTGCATAGCTCTTGGTTCTGGTCCCCTTCTGTCTAATTGTTGAGCCCCATGTCAGCCTCTCACTCCAGATGGTGAACTTCACGTCCACATGTCCAAAGCCACTGTCTCTCCTCATCCTGTAGCCTATACCACTAGCTCAATGCCTAAGTTATAGTAGTTACTCAAGAAATACTCCCGGGGATAAAGTATTTACTCCTACAATCTCGCTGACCCACCAGCCAAGGATGTAAGGCGCTGGAGTCGAGGCACAGAGGGTTCTGTACACCATCCAACCCTTCAGTGGAAGGGCTGTGCTTAAAGCCAGCCTTCCAATTCCAGAAGGAAAACTCTGATGACATTGTATCTTTTTTTTTTTACATAATACTCCAGACATTAACACAGAAAAATCAAGTCAGGCCGTTTTCGGCATACACTTCCCCTACAGCTGGAAAATTAGTCTATTTTCCTCTCCAGTGTCCTTCCCTGATTACACCCGGACCCCATTCGCTAGGTCCTGCTGCGTCAGGAAGTTTACATGAGACTTCCCTTTTGAGAGGTGTGTCTTTATTAAGTCTCCTTATACCTTATGCTTTGAAGTCTTGGTGCTAGTTTCAGCCCCTCCTCTGTCTCTCCTTGTCTCCCCCTGACTACTGGCCTCCTGTGAGCCTCTGCGTCCAGATGTTCCTGGACTGATGACTATCTTCTGAGTCCTAGTTCCTCACATGGTCCTTGTGACCTAGAACTCATCCAAACCTTAAGGTGCTTTCTAGGAACCTCAGTGCGCATGACTTTCAAACCATGGCCTCATCCAGAGCTTATGTGCAGATGCGTTGCCTGACTTCTAACTATTTGATTCTTAGCTGGAGATCCTCACCCTCCAGCTTCTAGATCCCGTCCTAACTTTGGCCTGCTCAATGCCAAATCTCTCAATTATCACCACCATTCATTGATGCCCATGGCATTAGTGTGGCAGTAAATTTCACCTTGCCTTTATAACATGTAGATGTGTAGCTTCCAGCTAACTATACACTCCATAAGTAGCGGGTAAAATATTCTGTACAGCCCTGGTAGAAACTGGCTTTAGATAATTCCTGTATGCTGACATTTTTTTTCAAGTGAAAAGTAAGCAAAAAACCTCTAGAGCTGTGCTGTCCAATATGGTAGACATATGTGTCTATTAAGCCTTGCAATATGGCTAGTTCTAATTGAGATGTTCTGTGAGCATCTAACATCTGATTTCAAAGACAGTATGAAAAATGTAAAATATATCCTTCATAATTTTATTGGTAACTCTATGTTGAAGTGAAAATATTTCATCTTTTTGGAAAAAATAAGTTGTTAAAATCCACTCCATTTTATTTTTACTTTTTTAATGTGGATAACAAAATATTTAAAGTTACATGTGTGGCTTGCATGATTTCCTACTGGACTGCTCTGCTCCAGAGATTTGCCTGGTGCCTCTTTAATATTAGTAAGCTGACTGTGATTAGACAGAATGGAAAGTTAGTGCAGAATTAAAAAGCAGGAAAGGTTATGAATGACAGAAGGAAGCTTCTGCTCAGATTTTTAAATTTCTGTTCCCTGAATACACCGACATGCCACCTGCCTTGACAAGCTTTTAAGAAGGTCTGATAATCCTCAGAGAAATGAGGCTGAACCAAATGGCATCCGTCTAAGGCTCGCTGCACAGTGCCTAACCTCAGAGGCTTAAAAATCAATATTGATTTTCATCATTTATTTGACCCTGGCATTTAAATATCCCTTAGATTTATTACCTTTAGGCTTTTGGTTCATATTCAGTGATGGGTAGGATACAAGGGTGGTAATAAGTTATGCAGATATCATTTAATTTATGAACTCTGGAGCTCCAGGGTAGTTCAAGAAATATATTAACCACATACACATCACCCTTCATTTTGTGGTAAGGACTTCCAAGCTGGGTCCCTATTGTGCCACTTAATTTATGGTCTGGCCAGGTACACGGTTCTGCGTACAATATTTCAATATAACTTGCTCCAGCCATCAGAGGGGACGAAGATGGGCTTCAAAGGAGCCAGCTGGACAGCTGATGGATTGCTCTCTCTCCTATACACAGGCTGGGGCATTAAGTGGTTTTTAAAGCTTGTCAGCGGTTTGGGTCTTTTTCTGCTCCGAGAAGCTGCAGGCACCGGCCTAGACAAGCAGAATCAGCCATGCTGCAGCAGGCAGAGGGCAGCTCCCAGAGTTACTTACGTTGGCAGCCGTAGTGCCAGGAATTTCCCGGCAGACACTCATCACACTTAGGCCCTGTCGTTCCAGTCTTACACTCACAAAATCCTGAGCCATTACAACGATCATGGACCGAGCCCAAAGGGTTACAATAACACTCTGTAGAAACAAGACAACACAGAGGCTGGAGACAAGTCCACACGGCTTATAAGTTATCAACACAGGAGCGTCTCTTACTCAAATGCATCGCTTACTTAAAGAAAGATGTCCACTAATGAAATGCTTTGGCAAACATGGCTATTTCAGGTCCATTCATTTGCTCAGGCCTCCGTGATATCATTTTTATGATATGGGAGGAAATCAACGGAAAACTTCCAAGGAAATAAGGCATCATGCTCTTCACTGCTAACAGATCATAATGGAGGTTCCATTTGTTAGGGCATTTTTAGATGGTTTAATGAATGCCATGAGAAGTTTGTATATCAAGGATAAATCAATATGCCATCAGTGTAAAAATCTCTTTTAAATTATTCAAACGAGCTTATATGTTATACTCAATATCTGAGAACTGCTGAACATTGTTAAAGTGCAATGTGAATGCACTTTGTTCATTCAAAGGCCGTTTTACTTTATGATTTGGGATGGCACTTTATATATATATATATTTATACTGGATTGTGATGAGACTTTGGATATTGTATCTGCTAGGCATGTCAGTACAGCTTTTATGCAACCCAGATTAATGATCATGAAAGAAAAATGAATTTTGTAATCCTAAATAACTTTCAACATAGGCATAATTTGAGACTTATAATTTTCATTATAATGTCTATGTACAGGACAATATAACTTACATATAGTAAAAAGTAAACAGAATATTTTCTTTTTCCTCACACATTGTTACATAGGGTATTTTTACTTCTGAAGCTCTGTTCTGCTTAAAGGTTGAATCAGAAATGAGAATTCCTTAGGCTTCCGTTAGCTTGAAAGGTAACAGCAGCTAGTTTGTGGCTTTTAGAATTTGTAGGTCAAAGTTTCCTTCTTTGTAATCTCACTGTATAATCTTGGGAAAGTTATTTTTTTGGGGGAGGGTTGGGGGAGATAATTAGGTTTACTTATTTAACTTATTTTTCAATTTTTTTAAATGAAGGTCCTGGGGATTGAACACAGGACCTTGTGCATCCTGAGCACACACTCTACCACTGATTCATGCCCTCCCCTACTCTTGGGCAAGTTTTTAAGTGCCTCTGTCTCTTAGTTTCCTTTATTTTAAAATGGTCCCATTAAGAGATTTTCTTGTTAAAAACCAAATAAATTCACACCAAACAGCTAACCAAGCAATCAACCATGAGAAATCCTGAGAATTTCAGTTAATATCAGCAAGTTCAGTTAATATCAGCAAGTGTCTTAGATTAGCAATGGAGATTCAGGGTTTAATGTTATAAAGAGAGGTCCAGAGGTTTGGTTCTGTTTTGTCATAGGGACAATTAGTAGGTGATTTCTTCAAATAACGTGGACTACCTTAGAATCATTATTTATTTCATATTGATTAAGTTAATTTTGAAGTTTAGCAATCTTCAGATACAAACATTTATAAGACTAAGAGTGACATACATACGTAAAAACAAAGCTAAATAAAATTTAAAATCGCTCTCCTTGTCTGGCTTGGTTTGTAATTAATACCTGGAGTTTTATTTTAAATTGGCACTTTCTCTTTTAATGTGTGTGTCTATAGTAGCTATTTAATTTTTTTTAAACAGTAATTTTGTTGTGGCTTTAAAACTGTTTGTCTGTACATATATAAAAATAATAACCTATACCAAAACAACTGTAATATGTTTCTTACTATATAAAGTGTATAAATTGACAATGAATCACCAACATTTTGTAAGCCAGGGAGCAGAGTTACATCTGGCCAACATGAATTCACTAGTCTGTTAGCTCATAACAACTGATTAATATAAGGTGTCAGATGCAAAAAAAATGTGAACAAAATTTTTTAAATGTGGAACATCTAAACCACAGTACATCTCAGTGGTTGTCATATAAAAAGGTGGTAAGTATAATGTCACTCATCATGAAAATAAGTGACAAAGAGAGGTGGGGTCTACACCCTACCTTAACATAAAAATAATTTCATATTTAAAGAAATACCAGTTATGACTATGATCAATGGTAGATGCTGGGGTGGTGAGAATGACCTTGGAGAATTATACTTATTCCATGAAACTAGGAAGAATATGCAGGACTATTATACTAAAAAAAAGCATGAAATACTTTTGGAAGTTTGATTTAAAAATGTATACTACACTTGATTTGTAGGCATTAGAAGAAGCTAGTGTTTGCTTTGTTCTTTAGAAAGTAACTCTGGTTACCTGATCTTGGGTTTCCAGGGGAATAAAAACAATAATACATCATGAGATATCTTTGGTAGCAACTGCTGAGCTCTGCATTTCATTCTGATGTCAAACTTGTTATCAAGGATTATTAGCAGTGATGACCCAAGGTCACAAACCAGGTATCTTCTAGTTTCCTGCTTAATGCTTGAGTTTACATGAAATGGGAGCATGCAAGGATGTCATCTTCATGGAATTACTGCATCATACAGGGTAATTACATGCATCTTTGGAAACATGGCTGGGTTTGGAATTTGTATGAAAAATGAGTAAATTTGCCAGGAATCACAAAGCTGCAATCACTGTGGAAACATGGAATACCCTGCATTTTATATTTGCCATAATACAAATGATGCAAATAGTTTAAAAGACATCTACTTCAACACAGTCTACATTTTGTCAAAGACAGGTACTGTTCCCTCCCAGTCAGGACGCTGGATTTCATTGCCAACTGTTAAAGAAATGGCAAAGTGCCTTTTCCTTCTCTTAAATTTAAAGAAGACTTAGACGAAGTTCGAATTTTCAGAGATTAGTGCCTAATTCTGTGACAGTGAATTGGGCAAATATCCATTCATTTTCATTAGCGCTTTCTTTAAAAAAAAATGGTATTAAAATTAACTCTCAATTACTTGTGGTGTATCCTCTCAAATTTAATTCTCAGTCCTGCTACAAGCCCTTTGGGGAGCTTACCTGTGGAAAATAGTGAATGGGTTCACACTGCCCTGTAGGGCAGACCTTGGTAATGGACAGGCATCCAGCGGCCTTCAGAGAACAAACTCCAGCTCAGCCGTACACGCAGGCAGTGCTACAGCTCTGCCCTTGGCCCCTCAAGTGGGAGGAGCGGAACCTACAGCCCCTTCAGGAAGTTGTTACTGATTCATTGCGTCCTCATAAGACCAAAGACAAAAGATGGACCGTAGCAAATACCAACTAGTCAGGTTTTTCAGTTCATTCTTTAAAGACAATTTTACCTCTAAAGAAAAGGGCCACCATTTAAGGAATTTTGGTATTTGGGGGGAAGGAGTTGTAGCTAATTTTAATGGTATCTAAAAATACTCATCTTTGTGCTTACCAGTGATTTCACTTCGTTTGAAGAGTATAAAGTATTGAATACGTTTGCCTCAATAAATGAAATTTCCCCAAGGTTTATAATTTTAATTAACAAACTTTCTAGATATGGAGAAAACACCTGCTCTTGATTTTTTTTTAAGTAGAAATAAATACAAGAATGCATGTTAAGCTTTCCACATTTCATCTGTGGTTTATGTGATTTAAAGGACAAAATCTGAATGACTAACTTCTTGTCCACGGATAATCAAACATGGATTTACAACAGAACTATGCCTCTTAGAATTGGATAGGAAGTGCAGACTTTGTAGTTCATAGACTACTTTAGGACTGGAAAAGGGCCAGACTTCATCAGAATAGAATACTCTGAATGAGACATATGGTGATATTGTTAAGGCACATGCTATGGGAAATTTTATGGAATAAAATATTTTTTAAGGCCTTTTTCTTTGATTTATTTAAAATAATATGAAATTGATACTGTAAAACATTTTAATCGTACGTATTTTGAAAAAAATGACTACATTTTATTTCTATGTTCCTAGGGTTCCTATTTATTTTACCTTTTCTCTTGTTACCATATTTATAGCATGACATTTATATATTTTTACAAATGACATTCAGCAAAATGTAACTACATTCAAAATTCAGACAGCTATGTGAAGTTTGTTTTTTATTAATATCCCAAACTTTTGTAACCCAAATGTTACAAAGGCAACTGAACGTCTTCTGTTCGCAAGCTTGTAGTGGAATTGCTGCTGTCATCCTAAAAGCACACCGTAAGTAAAAGTCTGATAAGCTTAGCTTCGCTAATTGTGTCAGAGTAGTTGGGAGAAAGTGTTCAAGCTTTGAAGTCAGGAAGCTAACTCTTCGCTAAAACTGTGTGATTTGGGTCAATTTGCCTTTCTCTTCTCAACTAAAGAATAGGGGAAATTATCAGTGGAATACTTACCACCGCAGTTTTGTTAATGAGGATTAAGTAAAAAAACGTATTTGCAAGTCACAGTTTACCAAGTGTTTCCGATGTATCCCATAAGATACCCATTTGGCCAGGAGTTCTCAGTGACTTACCTAAAGCACACAGCTATTAAATAGCAAACTGGGATTTGAACCCAGATCTCCAGCCTCTAAGTCCAGGAATTTCTCCACTAATTCACAAACAATAAGGAAGCACTTTGAAAAACAGAACATACCGTAGACATAAACAGTTTTGTATAAACTTGGCCCAATTTAACGCAAAACAACTTGTCCGGCTATTTTAAGTGACACTTGGCAAATGCTAATATGACGTTGACAGTCCAATCAGAAAACAATGATCCCAGAATTGCAGATTGATTTGATTCCTTTTTTTGTTGGAAAGATCACCTTTCATCTGTGTATTCTATTTAGCCTCTATGTGAATAAATTCTACCTTTAACATTGGTTTCCTATACAGTTACCTATTGGTGTGGTAACAGATACATATGTATCCTTCACCATTCTGAACATATGCATTTCTTCAAAGTACATTATGAAGTGAAACTCCATTTCTCATTTCTTATTTTTCCATCAGCTCCCTTTTTAAAGACAGGTTCCATTACGCAAAAGCTAGGAGAAGCTTTTTTAGGGGGAAGGGCACCTGGTTCTCCCCAGTTGACATGATCAGTATTCATAGCGGGTAGAAAGAGTGCTCACAGGAGCCCTGTGGTCCCAGTTTTCTGGTGCCCACGTGCTTTGGGAGCCAAGAGAATTAATTGCCTTGAATAGTTCTGAAAAATTGCTTCTCCTTTTGGGGGCTATAGGAAAATTCAATAAATGGAATTTCACTACTATGGATGGAAAAGTCAGGCAAACTTCTACATCACCAATTGCTGGTGGCTTTCAATTCCAAATGACAATATTTTAAATCAATATTTGTTGATTACCAATTATTTGCAAAAGTTTGTGCCCTAACTTCTCATATGTATAATTAAATACTTTATAATGAGTTTCCATTTTGAAAGTTGAATGTATAACTTAAGATTTTAAAATCAGATTGGAATGACCAGGTTTTAAGATTTCATGCAAAAAAAAAAGGAAGAAAGAAAAATAAAAAGAAAATTCTTCATCTCTTAAACATGATTTTTCAGCTCATCATTTTTAAAGCAACAATAAGATAGGATTCAAAAATACATCCCCCAACTATGATTTCAACCAGCACAAGTGAATTTTAACTCCACCACAAGGATGTTTTCTCCATTGAAAAAGTTCATTCTGGCTCAATGTGGTGCAAATCACCAGCCTCTCCACCTTAAATAGCTCCCCATCGCTCCAAAGGCACAGAATAATAGCTGAAATTATAATGGAACTGACCTATGCATACATTCTCATCGTCCAGCTGTGCAGAAGCATTTCTGAAGTAGCCCAGCCTGCATAACTCACAGTGCTGCCCTCTAGTGTTGTGTTTACAGCTCACGCAAATGACTGTATTTAGCAGATCGATATAACTGCATCGATTGGAGTGGCCGAAGCATTCACAATCTTGCAAGGAAGAACAGAAATGTATACAGAGTGTATACAGTCGCAGAGTAATTGCACACTGCATGCTTGGATAAAATGAGAAGTGGAGGAAAAACGGCGGAATGGCATTACATGTATGTGATTTCACATGACACATGGTGACCACAGGTGGTTGTGACTGGCATGGAAGTAGCATCTGTTTCAAGCAGGAGAGAAAGATTGGACATTTAGAACATGACCAGAGAGTGTTAATTCTTGGCAGACAATATGGATAGAAGCATTTGCAGGTGCACACCTTTTAAAGTTTGGGAAGGCTGTTTCCATTGATGCAAAAGTCTAATTTTTGCACCTTGAAAACTTTACTGTCTTTGCAACATTTCCTCTTCATATTTGCAGTCTTAAAAAAGAAAGAAGGAAGGATGTCAGCATCTCGAGCCTAAGTCTGCCATTACCCATGGCTCCTTTGTTTAGAGTCTTACTATCATTTATGACAAGACGGTAACTCAGTCAAGGTTTCACTGAAGAACTCATGGAAAATTTAATAGGGATTTAGATAATTAAACAATTCTTAATTTTTGTTTTTTCCAGATGTTAAGAGGAGAAGATGGCTTTTGCAAGCTTTTCATCAGGCCAAATCTGCATATTTGCGTTATGTGTGAGGGACAGCACCGAAAACCGGGAGATTATTACTACGAAAAAAGTGTTCTTAAGATTTCCTTTTCTTAAGAGTTTCAAGCTACGTCTGCTACAAAAGAAGAGTTAGGCAACTATTGTACCCTCAGATTCCTTTTCCTTTGTCTCTCCAAAATGTTGGCCGTGTCTCTGAGGCTCAGGGGTGATGAGAGAGCTAGACCAGGCGTTGCGGGGAAGGGTGGAGAATGACAGATTGTCTCTCCTTTGCATTTCAACCAAAGCAAGTTGTTAATCTAATTCAACCTTTTAAGAAGAAGTGGTAAAAACAAAGCCTCTACTGGTGCAATCATTACTAAATCAGACAGAAAAAAGGTGCAAGAAATAACTAGGTGAGGAACCTATTTTGTCTTCTCAAAGTATGGGGATAGGCCTAGCTCACATTTATAAGGAAGGTCAACTACGAAACTGTAAACCTTGTTTGTCAAAAAATATCCCTTTTGTAAATGTCTGGCTTTTATTTTATCCCACCAGGAAGCCAAACACAGTCACTGTTTGACCCCATTCATTCATTCATTCATTCAATAAATAATTTATTGGGTTGATCTATGTGTCAGGCACTATACGAGGTGCTAAGTTACTCTTCCGGTCTAGATAAGATTTTGGAAGTATTGCATTTGATTGTATTTTCCCTGAGTAAAAATGAGTAAGTATTGTCAAAATGAATAAGGAAGGGTGATTAGCTTTTTTTTTTTAATTAACATGCTGACACTCATCAGAATGGCGTGGATTCATTTATATGAGGGCCAGTTACTATAGCAGAGAGCTGAGGTCAAACCCCCGACAGCATGAAATCAAATTTGGATAGAAACAGAGGAGGACACCAGAAATGGTGAAGAATGGAAGATACCCTGGAATAGGGTTAGCACCTTGGGGACCCTAGATGCTTACAAGAAAGGCAAGAAGAAGGGGAGGTTCCTGAAGGCAAGCCCCTTCCTGTACAGGAGGCTAGCTTCTCACTGTGTGCATGTGTGCTAGGAGTAGGAGGTTGGAGGGGATTCAGAGAAACCAGTGGAAGAAAGAGAGTTCTGGGAGAAAGAGGCCGTGTGGGAGATGGGGTAAGAAAATGCTGCAAAAATGTAGTGGTTAAGGCATGGCAAATTAATAATAATAATAAT